TTATTAAAATGATCCGAATTGAATGATTATACTATATCACACTTTTCTGTACATTTTTAAAGCTTCCACTGTGATTAACACATTATGAAAAGCATTAAGTATGAAATACTGAGTATTACGTATTAAGTGAGGTATCGAAAATAGATGAATAAATATTAGGGTTAATATATAATTTATCAGGTTTTTGCTCTGTAGGAGATTATTAATTTGATGTAAAAAATTAATTATAAAGTCAAAATGTACTACACTCACTAAATGTATCAAATATCCTCTACGTTGTAGAGTAAGCTGTGTACCGTCATTACTTAAAACGGACGTTGACAGTAATCAAGAATTACTATCCTTTTTGTCAAATGTTGCCACATGTGTCCTTCCCGAAGCTTCTTCTACACTTTAACAATCTATTTTGTTCAAATAAACTGTAGGACTTTGTTTTCAATATGCTTTTTTGTTGAATACTCTCTTACAACTGAATTGACAGCTTAACCACCCAGCTAATTAGAGAATGAAATTTTTTTAAATAAATCAGCTTAATCATATATAGAATCTTTCTTTAAGTTGCTCTTTTATTCATTAAACGAGAAAAGTTGGACTACCGACTCCAATTTGGGTCACTAGATTCCGAAATGCTTAAATGACTACAACTATTTTGGAATGTAGGTTTGTCTACCTTAAAACATTATTAGGACTAGCAACCGATGCATAGCAACCCATGTTGTAATATATGTGCTGTCATTGCGGTTACCAAAGGCGAGCTTAGTAAATGATTGCTCAAGCGTCGACAGTAAATATTTCAGCTGGAGTATCTGTTACGCTTGATTAAGTCAGCATATCTTACTGAAAAAATCTAATAATAAAGTTTGTGCCGTCTTTTTATCTTATATGCCGTAGTTTACTTCACATACTTCAGATTTTCAATAAGCTTCAAGTACATTGTTATAGTCAAACATGTTTTATTTATATAAATATATATATATGCATACATATATACATACATACATACATAATTCCTCTTTTATAGATAGGACTTTATTTTACTAATAAAGTGAATATTTGTATGCGCAATTAGTTTAATTACTACGCTATCTTTATTAGAGGTAAGAATATTTTGTTACACTTGTTGCTTAACAGTTTTAAAAACAATATAAATAGCTGTTTACCCTACACCTTTTATAGACTTAGTGTTTTGTGATTGGTTATTATTTGCATGTTGTATCATGACTTGACTGCTATACAGTGCATATTTTTTTACTGCTACTCTCTGTAGTATATTCCAACTTAGGTTGGGCGATTGTGTATTGTTAGTTGTAATGTGTTAGTTACGTTTTTTTTTCACTCGGGGAAAATATCCCAGATCCCGAAACGTTGTGTATTGTTTTTCTTACCATTGTAATAGAAAAGGTCCGCAATAAACCTTTGAACAAAATATAGGCTTAATTAGATAAATACTAATTTAGGATTGATGACGATAGGTTTATAAACCTATTTATAATGTCGAAAATCAATTCTGGAGTGATTTTTACATGAAATAATGAAATAATGAAATAATGACTTTATTCCCCAAATACAAGTTTTTTAAAATTACAAAACAAATTCACCTTGGAACTATGTTATCACAGTCTCCAGTATTTGTGACAACATGAAAGAAAAAACACAGTTATTTACAAGTAATAAAAAATTGTATGAGTCCAGTCCTTGTTGAAAGAAGTGATTAATAACCATGCCGCTCTCCGTGGCGCCGTTTGACACTTATATTAACTTATACATAAAAAATACAGTAAATATAAATAAAACTTCTCTATTGTTATAACAAAAAATCAAATAATTACCTTATAATAATGAGAACTTTGTTCGGTAAACCAAATACATTCATTACTAATTATGAATAACACAAACAAAATATGCAAGAAAAAAAAACAGATGGAATTGAAATAAAATTGAAAAGGCCATACAAAAATATTTTGTTAACTAAGAACCTGATTTAAAAAATCAATGACTGGAGTTTTGAAAAGCCAATATTTCAATTTTAAAGAAAACAAATTTAAGGATGAACAACTTCTGATATCTCCCGGTAATTGATTGAAATATTTAGGTCCGTTGTACTGATAAGAATGTCTGAAGAGCGATTTGTTTACTTTAGGTAATCTGAACATTCCTTGGTTGTGATTTCTAGTATTGTACAAAAGGTTACTTGTTCCTGTATTTCCACTTCGAACATAAAAAAGCCGTAAAACCTTGTAAATATATAAATGTTGAATCGGAAGTATTTTAAGTTCAAAAAATAACGGAAAGGAACTTTCTCTTATTTGGCATTTTGAAATTAATCTAATAAAATGATTTTGTGTGACTCTTAATTTATCAGTATGACATTTATAGGTACCCCCCCAACACTGGATGGCGTACTGTAATCTTGAATCAATTAAAGCAAAGTAAAGGGTTCGCAATAAAAATCTACTACAAATATTTTTTAAAAAATAAAAGGTTCTTATGGAGAATTTAATTTTTGAATGCAGGTTTGTCACATGTTTATCCCAATTTAAATTTTCGTCTAAAATGACCCCAAGATAGCGAAAATTGTTAACCTTTTCAATTTTTTTACATTTACAAGAATTAAAGGAACAGCCAAAAGTGTGGAAAACGAGATCATTTATAAAGTTAAAACTATGTACTAAATTAAAATTAATGTATTTGGTTTTTTCAACATTGACTTGCATTTTGTTTGCTGCACACCAGTTACTAAGCAAAATTAAGTCATCTTTAATTTTGTTGAAAGTTAAATCACTATTCTTTTCGGAATAAAAGAGGGCGACGTCATCGGCAAATGCACAGATTTGTCCATGAAAAGGAAGTGTGAGCAGATCGTTGATGAAGATAAGGAAAAGGGTATCAGATGTCACCGATCCCTGGGGGACTCCTGTCTTTACATGTAGCGGCGAGCTTAATCGGTTTAGGATCTTGGTTTGTTGTATTCTATTGGACAAAAAACTGCTGAACCAACTCAGCGCGGTTCCTCTTACGCCAGCTGCATTGAGTTTAGATAACAAAATATTATGGTCTACTAAGTCAAAAGCTTTTTTGAAATCAATGAATAAGCCTGTAGATTTATTTTTGCTGTTGAAACTGCTATAAATTTTTTCTGTTACGGTAATTAATGCGTCCTCGGTTGATTTTCCCTTTCTGAATCCAAATTGAAAATTGCTGAAAAATTTTAAATTGTCTAAGTATTTAATGAGTCTGTTTTTCATCAACTTTTCAATAACTTTAGAAAAAACAGAGAGCAAACTAATAGGTCTTAGATTATCTAATTTTAACGAAGAATTTTTTTTATAAATCGGAACAATTATGCTTTGTTTGAGTTTTTCTGGAAAAATCCCGGTCGAAAAGCTTAAATTAATTAAATGAACCAAAATGGGAGCAATACTTTCGGCAACAGTTTTTACAACTTGAACGGATATTTGATCAAACCCTGTGGACTTTTTGTTTTTTAAATTATTTAATGTAGAAAGAACTTCAGTGACAGTAGTGGGGGCTACAAAGAAGGAGTGAGGTTGGACTTGCAACGCAAGGGGCGGGGGAGGGAGTGGACCGCTGTGACCTTGGCCATGACTTTGCACTGCGATAAAGTAATTATTGATTTCTTCCGCAACCTGTTGTGGATCACTTACTATTGTACCATCTTCTAATTCTATCTTACTAACATTTTTACTATCTGAATTACCAATTATGTTATTTAAAACTTTCCAATACTGAGAAGAATCACCATTACACATATTTATTTTATTTTCCAAAAACGCACTCTTAGCTACATCCATGTCAGATCTTAACTTTTCACAGAAACGATAAAAATAGTTGTTAAAATGCATATCATAAGGTCTTTTCTTATGCAGTTTGTATAATTTGTTTCTTTTTGATATTCTATTTAGAATATTTGTATTAATCCAAGGACTCACTGACTTAGCCTTTTGAAATTTATTTTGTTTGACAACTAGCTTAGAATTACTTATAATATCTAAAAGTTTATCATGGAACGCATCATAAACATCATTAACATTGTTGGATAACAAACAAACATCCCAATTTTCAACTTCTAGATTCATTTTAAGCAAATCAAAATTGATAAGATCTCTTTGTATTACTGTATTATTAGAGGCATTTAATTCGTTTAACTTACTGAATGGATTGAAATTCAAACCTAGCAAACAATGATCAGTTAAATAAATGTCAAAAATAACACTTCTAAACAAATTCATATTAGGATGCCGTACAAAAATATGGTCTACTTGGGTTTTGGACATTGTAGTGATTCTAGTGGGACTGTTTATCACTGAGATAAAGCCATAATTACTTAATAGATTAAGATAATTTTGCACGTAAGATTGAGTACTATTCAGAATATTTATATTGATATCACCTAATAAAATTACATTATTTTTTAACTCATTTAGAATATTAGCTAACTCATCTACGAAGTTAATTTCTGTAAACATTTGCAATCTATAGAGGCAAAAAATATTGAAGTAAGCCTGTTTAACTTGGACGTGTAATACCAATACATCAGCTGTATTCATTTTAACATTTACCTGGTTAACATCCAAACATTTACTAACATAGCACATTACACCTCCAGCTCTATAATTAGCGTTGCAACAAGCATAAACGTTAAAACCTGGAATTTTGTACAAATTAATTTCATCCTGGTTTATCCATATTTCGCTAAGCACAATAAAATGAACATTTTCTTTGATTTGATTAAATTCTACCAAAAAGCTGTTAAAATTCTTTCTTAAAGATCTTATGTTTGCATATATAAAATTTAATCCGCTTAACTCGGTGTTAAAAAATGCTGATAAAGTACTAAAGTAAATTTCTGAATCTATATCTGTCATTCAATGAGTTTGGTGTATAATTGATTATAATTAATTTCAAATGGTTTTAAAATGAAGCCTAAACAAAACCAAAACATGATAGTAGCCTAATTACTTGAGTTTGTTCATCTCTTCTTAGGTACTCACTTTAATTGTTTTTTCACCTGCGGATCTTTTCACAAAAAATTTTCCATCACGACTCCACACGAAGGTGTAACCCAGTTCGTTGCACTTCTTCTTCAGTTTTGCGAAGAATTGTTTATTCTCAGGCGAGAGATGGTCATTCACGTAGACTCTGTCGTGCGGGAAGGTGTTGTTTACTCTGTTGGCAGTCAGATTCACACCGCTTGCTCTGGATTCCTTATATTTGGAGATGAAGGTCTCCTTCGTTGCTCTCTCGGTAAACTGGACCACTAGCGACGGGGTCCGTGTCTTGTTGAAGGACGGGATCCTGTGAGCTGCCGCGATCTGGCTAGGCTGCACCTCCAGGCCTAGGGCTCGGCCGATGTCGCCAACAATTGCTCGCACATCCTCATTCGGTGACTTCGGAATGCCGCTAATCTCGACATTTGTCTTCCTGCTGTATTGTTCAAGGGTACGTAATCGTTCTTGTAAATCCGTGACTTTGCTGTTTAAGACGACGTTTTGTTGCAGTAGTTCTTCATTATCTTTTTTTAATTTGCCGATTTCTTTTTTAAAATCAGCAAACTGTTTACTCACATCGTCGACTGTGTCCGATAAATGTTGTATCGATGATTTCAATTCCACTGTATCACTTTTAACAGCTTTTAGCTCTGCTGCTATTTCACGTTTCAAGCTTTCAATTACTGATAGGAAAAATTCCTTTGTTATTACTGTTGAGGTTGAAGACGAACTTGCATTCGAAGGAGTTTTCACACGGCACTCTTTGCACTTCCACGCTCGCGTTTTAACAGTTTCGCCGTCTTGCTTCAAACACTCCGCGTGGTAAAGACTGCCACACGCGCTACACTTTATTACCGAACTACCATCATCGGATGACTTCTTGCAGACGCCACAGGTCGACATTGCTGCTTAATTTACGCACATAAACACTTTTTAAAAGAAAGTTTAATCAAAAAGTCGTGTTAACACACGTTTATACAGAACTTCGGTATAACCTCAAAACTCGAGGGCGGAGAGATAAGAGCGTGGCTTATCAGCTCGGCGGACGGAGCTGGATATGCAGCTGGACATTTCAGGAAGGTGTATTAAAAATTTGTTGTAGGCTCTATGATTAGTTTTGAAAAATTTTGTTTATGTGTCTGTATGATTGGATGTGTACATAGAGACGGACTACACTTTCGTTTACGTTTTCAAATTTTTTTTAAATTTATATTTTAAATGGTGGTTTTCTAAAAAAAAAAAAAAAAACAGAAAAAAACATAACGGATGTTTACAAAACGGCTAAAACAGTTTGACAAATGTTTAAAACGTTTAGTATGTTATAGTTCTTGTAACTCTACATAAAATGGTACTACCCCCAAAGATGTAAAATCTCCGGCTTAAAAGTTATTACACCTTTCAAATTTTACCCATAAAATACAATAGTTACTCCCCCACTAATCCATTATAAGGATTGTTGACAAGCTACTGAGAGAAAGTATGTGCCAGATAGCTAACACCGTTTATTCTATTTACGTACATACTGTGCTGTATGTAGATATAGAGAGAGGAAGGTAGACAAATGCATGTATACATATCTACACTCGAGTACGTGTTCCACCCTAATGATCTGTAGGGTCTGACTCATTAGTGTTACAAGGGAACGATGTAAAAGATCATTTGTTACTAAACACCAATACGTGCTCTGAATTACTGATTTTAATGTTGTACGATTATTTTCTTAATAAAAAATTACAAATTTATAACTATTGTAAACGTTATTTATATATTGTTAAATATTTTAATTTCGTTACCAACTAGGCTTACTAGAGGTTTAAAGTTTAATTTTGAGCATGTAGCCTAAAATTGACTTTGGAAGCGTAGGAAATAAGTCACCTCAAAAAGTAAAGTAAATTTTGTACCGTATAACTTCTAAGGTTTGTATTACTAATAATTAGGTATATTTCAATTTACTGTAGTCTATATTGTATGTCAACGTTCTAAATCCCCTGAACTCTACAAACACAATACATGTAATCACAAAATTGAATGCGTTTAAAAAAGTTAGTGTTATCTTTAGATTTTATTGTAACTTATTAACTTACTAGCAGAATACCCGTCCTTCGTACGGGGTTGGCATCGAGTATAAAATGTTTATTGCAGTTATACTCAAGCTTTGCGTCTGGAATGGGGGAGGACACAGTTTGGTAAAATTTTCTCTTTAAAATTACGGTATACTATAGTATTACACATCTACTATAGCCGTAATGTTCTACCACTTATCCTAAACAATAATGAAAAATCTATTTTTAAAAATTCACAAAATATCATAAACCATTCATAAAATTTAAAACATAAACACAATTGTAAACAATCCTACTTTGACAGTTCTCATTGCGTATCACAGTTTTTTTTCATTACTCTACACACGAAAGTACACTTTCTAAACGTAAAATGAGATAAGAAAATAGGTAATTCCCGCTACTGCACGGAAAAGTTACATAACGTTAACTTTCCGTGCGTATGTACTGCACGGAAAGTAACCGCTATGGGATTTTGCGGTGCAGTCAGATCAGCTGATTGTATTGTTGTTGAAAACACATTCCTCGCTTATATATTGACATTGTCAGTTAGGTTATGTTTGTTGAGATAGATTCTTTGAACTATGTGTACTAATATGGATAATATTCCTGAAACTTTGATGAACAGAGCGGTAAGTGTAACAAACGAATTATTGCCTGATGTGTCGCGTTTAAGATACGAAAATGAATACGATAAGCTTTGTACTTGGTGTCAAAAAGAAAACATTAAACCTAGCCAGGTTAATGATGACATACTTCTAGTCTATATGTCAGAACTGTCGAAAACTACGAAACCTAGCACCTTGTGGAGCAAGTATTCAATGGTTAAAAATGTCTTAAAAGTAAAAGAAAATCTTGGAAATTTAAAATTTCCAAAAACAGTTGCATTTTTAAAGAAAAAGTCTGTTGGTTTCAAACCTAAAAAAGCGAATGTTTTTACATCTGATCAAATTTCTCAGTTCATGATCAACGCTCCCGACAAAGAATGGTTGTTAAGTAAAGTAATTTTGACGTTTGGCATTTTTGGAGCCCTTAGGCGAGATGATCTATTACGCCTTAGCATAAATGACGTAAAAGATTATGGCAGTTTCATTAAGGTTACATTGAGAGATGGTAAAACACATGCTAGCAGAAGTTTCATCATTACAGACGATGAATGTACGTATCAACCCTGCCAGCTAGTACGTAAATATTTGTCTTTACGCCCATCAAAAATGACGAGCCCTAGACTTTTTGTTGGCTTCAGGCAAGGCAAGTGCGTAGCACAACATGTCGGGAGTCATACGATTTCGGATGTTCCCAAAAAGGTCGCCCAGTACCTTAAGCTAGAACAGCCTGAATCCTACACAGGTCATGCTATTCGACGCACATCCGCGTCAATGCTGGTGGAAGGGGGAGCGGATTTACTCACACTCAAGAGGCACGGAGGCTGGAAAAGTGCAACCGTTGCTGAAGGTTACATTGAGGAGTCCATAAATAGAAAAATTTATGTGTCTAAAAAACTTTTTTCAAAACCAAGTACTTCAATCTCAAATCAAAACAATTCCTCTTTGAATTTACTTCCAATCAGAGACATTACTAATTCAATTTCAAATTACAACAATTCCTCTTTGGATTCACTGCCAACATTTAACATTTCTAACATTTCTAACATTTCTAACAATGATGAAGAGGTGAATCTGGTTTCAAAACAATATTTTACAATCGACGATGTAATTTCATCAGAAGAAGATACTGTGCAAAATCGCAATTTCATTCAAGAAAATAATAAAGTTGATGGAACACACTCGGAAGTCAATGTTGCAGAAATGAGAAAAAACCTAAAGCTACCACAAAAAATGTTAAACATAAGTGAAAATCAAAACTGCGACTTTAACATACATTTTCATTTTCATTAATAAAGATTTATCAGCGTGTTGATCCTATGTAATCATCAAAGGTCTCTTTCTTTATTTGTTTATTCATCAGCTTGTTCTGTAGTTAATTTAATAAAGATACTTTTTTTTACCCAAAATAGTCTGTTTTTCCTCAAACTATTGGCCATGCAATTATTAATAAGTGCACGGAAAAAACTCATAACGTTAAGTTTCCGTGCTTATGTCGAGGTACATACACACGGAAAGTTAGCGTTATGAGTTTTTTCCGTGCACTTATTAATAATTCAGAGTTGAGTTTTTTTTCATTAGTTCGGTTTTTTCTCTTAATACTAAGTTAAATAAACGAAAATTTTCATGTTTTTATAAGTTTTCGGTATCGTAATGAAAAATAATGTTCAATACTCGCCTCGAAAGTGTCATTGCGGGGCACGATGGCGTTTCCAGCGCTCGGCTTCGCCTCGCGCGAAAATGCCATCTCTCCCCGCAATGAGTCACTTTCCAGTCTAGTAATGAAAACTACTATTGTTGCTGCTTAGTTCAAATTAGCTGTTTCCATAAATGGGAAAAAATAATAGTGCTGCACCCTGTTGGTAAATCTTATAACTTTTTAATGCTTTTGCATATCATATACGTAATCTTTGATATCATAGAAACAATTTTTTTAGTTGAAACAACTGACTAAATTCTTTAATCCCCATTAAATTTGAATACTCATGAGGTTAACATGGGGAACTACAGAGCCCTTGGGGCGGAGCCCGAAAGGATATTTGAGGAAAGGATATGCCTATATGTTAATCGGGAATGTGAGCTATCATCATGCCAAATTTCAGCCAAATCCGTTCAGTAGTTAATGCGTGATTGAACTTCAAACAAACAAACAAACAAACACACAAACTTTCACATTAATAATATTAGTAAGATTTATGTATTTCATTCTTTCCAACAGCAAATAACCAATACTTATAGGAAGCATGATAACCACTTTAAGAATCATTGACCACTTGTATTAATATTTAACGAAGAACATGTAGATTGAGTTGATGAATATACTATGAGTTAGTTCATACTTCAGCCCTTAATCTCTGAAATCTCTGGAGTGTTGTGCATAAGAGATTTTCTGGAAGCTTGGGTCCCCTCCTGAGGAAAAATAAATTGAGATGGATAAACTTCCTCATTTATTCACTTTTTATAAAGGCATTTTCAGTCAGGTTTGCATATAGGTATACATTTTGTGGATTGAAAAGGGTACAAATAACTACGGTAAAAAATCTAGTGATAAAAAATGTTTTTTATTTATTTAAATGTGTTTTCTGGTTCCATTTATGCAAAAAGAAAAAAATGTAAATTGAGGGATCTTATTATTTGGCTGACATCATGCCGTAGGATATTATCATACGAATGCACCAATACCGCTCTGTGAAATTGGTACTTGACTGACAATGCAGTGGGTTCCATTTTAACATCTGCTATGTGTTTATGAAATAAGGATTCGGGTTTAAAATTATAATAAAATAAATTACTCAATATATGGGAATATATCAATCATATTAAAGTTTGTTCGGCTAATGCACTAGGTATTTAATATATTAAGTACAACTTTAACTAATAAATTTAATAAAAAAATCGACAGCATTCTACTAATACAGCCAAAAATGCAATTGAATTTTTATATTAAGTTACATTCCCCCGCAGTATTTTTAAAATTCCTATAGCGCAGAACAGTGGCGTTGCATAGATATAATAGAGAAAATCATAACTATCAATGGTATATAACTATCAATGGTATATAACTATCAATGGTTTAACAGCCTACAATAGATGCTGCGTTGAGATGTTACGTTTGAAAGTCAAGTAAACAATTTCAGACTTATTATACATTGTGTTAGGATATAATAAACGTTGGCAATTTCCTTATCCGCAACATAGAAAGTTAATCATCATTTTGGAGATGATTGAAAAAGTTTGC